ACTCCAGTCAGAATGGCGCCTGTTATGAATACAAACAACAATAAGTGTTGGCCAGGATGTGGGGAAAAAGGCACACTCATACATTGCTGGTGGGGCTGCAAATATGGAAAACAGTATGGAGATTTCTTGGAAAATTAGGAATGGAACCACCATTTGACCTGGCTGTCCCTCTCCTTGGCCTATACCCAAGGGACTTAAAAACAGCATACTACAGGGACACTGTCACATCAATGTTTACAGCAGCACAATTCACAATAGCTAAACTGTGGAACCAACTTAGATGCCCTTCAATAGATGAATAGATTTTTTAAAAATGTGGCATATATACACAATGGAACATTACTCAGCAGTAAAAGAGAATAATATCATGGCATTTGAAGGTAAATGGATGAAGTTAGAGAAGATAATGCTAAGTGAATTTAGCCAATCCCCCCCAAAAAACAAATGCTGAATGTTTTCTCTGATGTAAGGAGGCTGACTCAGTGGGGTAGGGAGGGGGAGCATGGGAGGAACAGATGAACTCTAGATAGGGCAGAGGGGTGGGTGGGGAAGGGAAGAGGGACATGGGGTTAGAAATGATGGTAGAATGTGATGGACATTATTATCCAAACTACATGTATGAAGACATAAATTGGTGTGAATATACTTTGTATACAACCAGAGTTGAAAAATTGTGCTGTATATGTGTAATAAGAATTGTAATGCATCCCGCTGTCATATATAAATTAAAAAATTAACTAAAAAAAGAAAACTCTGTAGAAGAACAGACAAAGGAGAAGACAATCATATATTAGCATTAGAAAACAAATTTGCCCTTTTAAATTAGACTCCATATATAAGAGAGATTATGTTACATTTTTCTTTGGGTTATTTCACTTGGCATAGATCTTTTTATTTTTTATTTATTTATTTATTTTTTTGCTTTTTGAGAGACCTTTATTTATTTTTTTATTTATATGTGGTGCTAAGAATCGAACCCAGTGCTTCACACATGACAAGCAAGTGTGCTACCACTAAGCAACAGCCACAGCCCTTGGCATAGATCTTCAAGTTTAATCCACATCATCACAAATGACAGTATCATCTTTTCAAAACCTAAACAATTCACACAGACATACCTACAATTTTTTTTAATCCAGTCTTCCTTCACTGTATATTGTGTTTGTTTCTACATATTAACTACTGTTAGGGAAGCCGAAATACGTATTGGAGTGCAGATATGCCCACAAGGGCTGTTTCATGTCCTTAATATACATACCTGGAAGAGAAATTGTGAAGTCATTGAATACCTCTACTTTCATTTCATTTGAGGAACCTGCACAGTCTTTTCCATGGTGTTTGTACCAATTTACATCCCCACCAATATTTTATATGTGCCTCCTTTTCTCCATATTCTGGGCAAACTATGGTAACACCTATAAATTATGAGAAATTATTTGCTAAAATATTACTGTGCCTATGTGTACATGGAACTCATGCAAGTCAATATAGAAAAAAGAAAAACATCAAATAACCTGATTGATATGGGCCAGAAACTGAATAGACATTTTTTTAAAAAAGACATAAAATGGCTAATAGGCACTCAGCATTACTGATCACCAGGAATTGTAAATAAAAACCCTAATTTGGATCCTATACCTCATTTATTTCACATAATAAAAATAAGTACCAACTACAGCAGGTAATTTCTATTCCACCACAGAAAACCCTGAGATGTCATGCATGGGCTGCCCAAACTCTCTTTCAGCAAACATTATTCTTTCTCAACTGCCAGGTCTAGAAAACTGGAATACAACTTAGAAATACATCCCCAGATGGGCAAGTGATTAAAGTAAACCCAGTAAGAAGTACAATATAGGGCTGGGGCTATAGCTTAGTGGTAGAGTACTTGTCTCGCACATGTAAGGCACTAGGTTCAATCCTCAGCACCATATAAAAATAAATAAATAAAGGTATTAAATCCATCTACTACTAGAAAAATAAAAAAGAAGTATAATATATTAATAAACCTATAGGTAAAGAATTAGAATATATGAATGGAAGTATCACAATGACATTCATTGGAGACATTCTCATAAAGAAAAGCCCAGACCCCAGTGAATTGTACTATAGTTGAATAAATTAATACCAATGCTTCAATGTTACCTCCAAAAAATAGAGAAGACAATAAAATATTGAGTATTGTGGCTGGGGTGGACTTTTGGGAGATGTTGTTTAAATCATAGAAAACTTCAGTTAGATGGGGAAATTCAAAAGATCTATTGAACAATGTGGTGATGACAGGTGATAAGGATGCAATTTTTTTTTCTTGAAAATCACCCAGAGAGTAGATTTTAGTGTTCTTAGCACAGAATTAACTATGTGAAGTAATGTATGATTAATAAGATTGTTTTAGCAATATTATAATATGATGGTATTATGTTTCATCATATTTTATATTGAAAATACACATTTTTGCATTCAATAATTTTTTAATGGAAGAGAAAATTTACATATGTATTGTTTGCATAAACTACTACCCAGATACCATGCAATAATCTTTCTTAAAGAAAGCTATAAGCCTTTATCTATTATGAATGTAGACATATATCTTCAAAAGTACGGGCAAGTTGAATGAAGACATAATAACTACAAGAAACCAAGCAAGATTATCTCATAAACACAAATGTGATTTAGAGAAGAAAAGCAGTATAACAAAATACCATAATGCCATAATGTAAAACAATTAATTTGACAGAGACTAACTGGATTTGTCTAACTGTAGACCAATCCAGGGTTCCTCCAGGATAAAATCTGTAGCACTTGAGTGCTACAGGAGGGCTTCTTAGACAAGCTAAAAGGCATCCATAGAATCAAATAGGTGACAGTGCCACCGAAGGTAAAAGCTGGGTGTTTATCTCAGGGAATGATGAGACAAAAGAGTGCTGACTTTGCTGTTTGTATTCATTATTTAACTGGAAGTTTGGATGTTGAACAATGAATAGAAATTATATTGAAAGCATATGTAAAAATTTCTAAGGCATTCATACACACGTGAGCACACAACACTAGATTCAATCAGCTCAGCAAAGGTGCAATTGACAAGACAAACACAAAAATAGAAGCTTTTTATAATGGAAACAGTCTGAAATATGAAAATAAGAATCAATTCTATTCAAATTTGTACAAAAAATACATAGAAATAAATTTTACAACAGAGTGTTAAAACAGAAAGTTGAAAGTAATCAAAGAAGAGTTAAATAAATGGAAAGGTAGCTAATATTCAAGCACAAAAAGTTCAACACTCTTAAGATCACATTTTCCTTATTTATTGCATCCAATAAAATACAACAAATATGACAGTGTATCATTGTGCATCTTGGATCTGAGCTATATCCCCATTCGAGCCGGGGATATAGCTCAGCTGGTAGAGGGCTTGTTATAACACCCTGGGTTCAATCCCCAGCACCACCACCAAAAAAAAAAAAAAAGGTCCACGTGCTTGTCTTCTTACTAGATCCCTCCATCTCCATGAGCACAAAGACTAAGTTGCTGAAGGAGATACCATGGGGAGGAGAACCAAGGTGCCCCCTCAACAGCCAGTTCTCCCCCAGAAGCAGAGCTGCCTGGTCAACACCTAGAACAGAGGTCTGAGTGGGCCCCACTGCACCAAGATTGCTGACCAGCCCACTCATGAGCTGGTAAGTTGTGGAGTGATTAGCAGCCTGACACATAGACCTAGTGCAGATGGGAGGCCAGGGTTCAACAACACATCCACTGGGAGTTACCTTGTTGTAGGGGACAGATGAGGCAAGGCACCAAAGATAGCAGGAAACAGTTTTATTTGGCTGCAGCCAGGTTCAGAGGGCACAGATTTTGCTGTAATCAATCAATCCCCGTGAACCCTGAGTTCAGGAAGTTTCAGAGTTTAATACCCAAGCATGGAAGGAGAGGGGCTCAGAAGCTCACAGTCTGCAGAAGTTCACATAAAAGCAGCTTTTTCTTTCACTGTTCTAGGCAAGTTAACCTTTCAAGGACAATACCTGAGAAGGGGGAAGCTTCTTCTCTCCTTTCTTTCCTCCTCCTGTCAGCTGTTACCATGGAGCCCAACTGGTAACTTTCTTATCTTAGAAATGTAAACATCTCTGTGAAGCCCAGCTCAAGGCCAGAGGCACATTTCTACAAACTACTGGTTGTTTGTGACAAACTAGTAAGGGGGTGTCTAGCACCTGGAGTGCTGGTATCTTCTGGGCCAGTGGCCAAGTAAAACAGGGCAACACGAAAATAGGAAGTTTATCTACATTGGACTCTTGCAGAGACTCTTTTGCTGACAGTACTAAAATCAGCCATGGTGAAGATTTCTGGAAAGGCCCAGTTAAGACTTTTCTGTGGAGAAAGGGGGTGCTACTACAGTATCATAAAGACAAGTAGTTAATTAATAGTGACACCTCATTATACTGTTTGCAGAGTAAAACAATGATATTTTACATATACTGCATTAAAGACATCACAATCAACCTCACCTGTGACTTTCTCTCTTGTCTTTTGTATCATCTTGTTTTTGCTGGGCTGGAACCCAGGGCCTCAATTTGCCAGAAAAGTACTGTATGGCTGAGCTGTGCCGGTTGTTTCACCTGTTTCTTTGAACGTTTTCATGTGGCCTTCAGAAAAGTCAAAGGTACTTACTGAGCACTTCATTTCAGTTGAACCGGCCTCCTTTCCATGGCTCAGGCCCACCCTGAACCCAGGGCAGGAAGGTCATGTGACTTAAGGTCTTAACATGCTCCTCTGTGGCTCCCTGTGCACAGCACGGAATTCTATACACCTACCTCCCCGGGTTACCTGCGGGTCCGGCCCCAGCCCGGGAGGAGGTGCTGCCTGAAAAAGCGCTGGGCCTATTTCATCAGGGATTGGTTACTTCAGCTGTCCAATCAGGCGCGCAGCCAGGGCAAGGGCGGGCTTCCGCAGACTCGCGCTTTCCTTGCTGGGCTGCTTGGGTCTTTCTTCCTCAGGTCGCGGGTCTTGGGCACGGATTCTGCGCGACTCTGCGTAGCCAGAGAGCCGCATGAGCTCGGGTGGCCAAAGTTCCTTCGTGAGGACGGCGGGTGACCCCGGAGGCCCAAACGGAGAGTGTGCGGCCAGGGCTGGCGGGACCCGGCGGGCGGGTGAGCGTCGGAGCGGGTCGAGTCCCGGCCGGCGGGTGGCCCTGGGGCCTGTCCCCTGGTCCCGCGGTGTGGGCTGGGAGGAAGGTTCCCGGTCAGCTGCAAAGCGTGTTAAGGAGCCCCCTCGGATGGCCCTGGACCCCGGACCCGGTCCCTAGGGACGGACTGGGAACGGGTCCCCGGGGTTCCCTGCGGAGGATAGCATTGTCCGCGCTGGAGGGTGGCCCTGGGCTCTTTCCCCTGGTCCCGCGGGGAGTGCTGGCCAGCGGGTCCCCCGGTCAGCTGCAGAGCGTGGCCTCAGTGGCCAGGACCCTCATGTGCCTCCTGGTGGGTGCTTGGGTGAGAGAGAGAACCAGGGTACCGCAGGAGGGAACATTCTCCACTTGGGAGAGAAGAGCACAGTGACCTTCCAGAACCAAATGTCCAGCTGCTCAGGTTCCCTCATTCCTAGGGAGCCACCTGGGCTGCATCCGCTGTGAGAGTGTCCCTGGGCTTGGGGATGTGTTTAGCCACCAAGCGGGGTTCCTGGAGAACTGGGGGTGACAGGCTGCTTCCCTGCGCAGGTGCTTGTTGTTTCCTTTATCACATCTCACTGCCAAGAAATTCCAGTTTGTCCCCAAGTATGTAAGAAGCTCATTCCTTTATTTTATGTTATTGGTTAACGTTTAATTGGATACAGTAATGTGATGTAAAGAAGAAGAGAGTTCTTGAAATAATTTTTTTAATGCTCAGTTAGTGGGAATCTAAACACCTGTATAACCCGCCCAAAGAGAGGTGAATGGGCCCTGGTCAGGCTGCCTCTCCCTGCTCTCCCCTACCTGTGCCTGGAGGGGAGCACAGTTCCAAGTTTTTTCTGTCATTCCTTGTACTTGAGCCATCTGTGAGGAGGAAGAATTTTAGTTGGTGCTTCTTATTTGAGTTTTCAATAACTTAATGTTGAAAGCATAAAATGAGGGGTGCAGACCTCAAAGATCAGGGAGCTGCTTATTCCTCTTCAGGACCTCAGGCCCCTGGGGACTTATTTTCTGAATATGTGAATGGCCATCAGTTACAGAGGGGATTTTGGTTTTATAGGGTACAGTTGTGCTGATTTCACCATTGGAACTTGTGAGTGTGCTGTTTGGACAGTCAGGGGTAGTTATGTAGGTGAAAACTTTTAACTCAGGATGGCAGCTGTAAAAGGTTGAGACTCATTGCTACTAAGAGAGATAGGAGTCCAGATTGTGAGGGATGGGTATTTCTTTTTCTGGAATTATTTTCTCCCAGAGATTCAGTATTTCTCTCCTTCCTTTGGGGCCCATGTTATCAGGAAAGGATTTACTGGAAGGTTAATGGTGGGCTAGTTTCCCCTCAGTCCTACCGAGCTGCCTTGTGTCTCCACTTTTCTTTGAGGGCTGTTTTGTAGGATTGTTATTTTCCATAACTCTTCAAATGTTACAATTAGTACTCTATCACTGTGGTGCTGTAATGTGAATTGTTGGTTCCTCTGCCTCAGTTGCTTAGACTCGTATTACTATCTGTAGGCCTCCTGGTTCCCTTCCCTAATCCTGCTTCAGGAACACCACTTGTTTCTAGTTTAATTTTTTAATTTTACGTTCTTGACCATTTCATTCTCTTTTAAAATTTGGTCCTCAAGTGCCCACACTTCATAAGTTTTGTACATGTTGGGAAATCATTGTTAGGTTATAGATTGTGGATTAATTCAAATTACTAGAAAATTTCAGTGCAGTGTATATACACATGTGTATTCATCCCTTATACTATCTATCCTTGTTTACTTCCATGTGGCTATATATTGCTTTTTGCTGAATAGCATTTATGAGAACATTTTTCTCTGTATTTCCTTGTTCCTCTGGGCACAGAGTCACAAGCATTTGTGAGAAATTACATATCTGGTGTCCAAGGCAGCCAACCCTGAGCTCAGAGAACCCATATTCATTGAAAAGGTGTTCAGTCATTTTCTCATGTTTAATTCATTTGTGAAGTTATTTTTTGTTTTGTCTTAACATACCCTCTACATGAATTCTTTTTATTGTTTTATTTTTTTTTTTGTAAAGACTGCAGACATTTCCTCTGAGGGAGGGCAGCCTTCTTTGACCCTATCGCAGTTTGATGGAGGAGTCTCTTTTTTATAGATGTGAGTTTATCACTTTCTTCCTTTGGAATTTTTTTATCTTCTCACTTAAGAAAACCTATAGGATGGGGACATGTTGGGCTCCCAGAGGTAAATACTTAGGTGGACCCTCCTGGCCATGGAGTTCCAACCCCTCTGTGGTACATTTCAGCAGTCAAAGTCTGGCGCCCAAATAAGTTTTGTAAGTTTGGAAATATGTATATACCTCTGCAAGAGGGTTTTCATTGAACTGCGGATGAAGCAGGCACCTTTCCTCAACTAGTTCATGTGATTGCTTTTCCTTTTAAATTATTTTTATTGCCATATAATTAGGTTTTCATGTATTTAATAACTATATTCCTTTGTTGTCTTTTCATTTTCTTGGCTGGAAATGAGTTGACTGAGAGTTAAAGTGTGAGGAGGCCTTGGCATACAGCCCCGACCTCTTCCCCAAGATGGATGCCTGTATCCCTCCTTTCCAGTCTATTGTGACTCGGCACCCACCTTCTCTGAGCTCAGGGTTGGCAGCCTTGGACACCAAATATGTAATTTCTCACAAATGCTTGTGACTCTGTGCCCAGAGGAACAGGAAGACAACAGGGCCTGCTTGAGAAAGGGCTTAAGTACCTGAGGAGAAATGTCCCCCTGGTGGGGCAGGTCCCTTGCAGGGAGAAAGTCTTGCCTGAAAAGGGCTTTTGCGTACTACCTGTCCTTCTGGCCTCATTTGTCCAAGAGCCTGATATATCTCCTGTCACTCAGAGTCCCAGGGTGTACATATGTGGCTGGGGTGAGAGAAGGGTCTTGTGGAGTCCTGACCAGTGAGGAGGCAGCTGGTGGGAGGGGGTGGCCTTCCACAGTCTAACAGGACTTTCTCTCTCACCTTGTGCAGCTCAGAATCCATCTCCAGGACTGTGTCTTCTCTGCTGTGTGAGGCCCAAGTGGCTCTGGCTCAGGTCTGTCTCCCTGTGACCTGCAGGTGCTGTGAGGTCCACAGGAAGGATGTCAGGACTCCCCAGAAGGCAAGAAATGGTGAGTGTGTGGGGCCAGGACTGCTCAGGGAAGTGGGATGGTTAGAACTGGTGGGAACCAGCTGTGGCTGGTCTCTGGCCTCCTACTGTCAGTTCCAGAGTTCGGCCAACCCAGACCTGAGCCATGGTGTGGGCTGGTGCAGGTAACAGAACCCTCTCTGCACATCTGGACCCCAGCCCTAGGCCCTCAGTGTGCAGTGAAGGCAGAGGGCCTCAGGGATCCTTCCTCAGGTGTGGGGCTCCTTCCTATGTGGAGGATTCTGGTCTGAGGGGATCCATGTCCCTCCTTCTTCTGAAGAGTCATCTGGTTTTCCCCCACCTAGCCATTGTTAGGGCGCTCATTAGATCCTTTAAATTCGAGCTCTCTTCACATTTTCAGACTTTGACTCCCCACTCAAGTTCCCAGAATTCTCCCCTCTTTGCTCCTTATACTGCATTCAGTGGGCACAGCCTCGTAGATTTGTTTCTGTTTCTGAATTTGCCATGTAGTGAGAGCAGAGAAGAGTTACCTGGAACTCCACTGTTAAAACTCTGTGCCTCTCTTCCTTTACCTTCCCTAGGCATGGAAACCTTGTCAGAATAACTTGTGCAGAGGTTTCCATTGGACCCTCCTGGGTCCTGTGTCCTCAGCCACCTTCCTTTCCTGTGGCTTCCACCTTGTCGCAGCCTGTGGAGGCTGCCCAGTGTCCTGCAAAGGGTAGGCAATTTCAGGCCCTGGGTCAGCACAGCCTGAGGTGTGGGATGCAGCCTCTCAGGGGAGCAGCTGGAGGTCCTGGGGCTGAGGAATCTCCTGGAATAGGCCTCATCTAGAGACCTGTCATCTTGGGACATTGTTTTACCCACTCCCTGTTCCCATTTCTCTGATATCAGTGGACAGTTAGCCTGTAGATGCTGGTGCTGAGGGGCCAGGTCAGCAGTGATTCTTGCCCTTGCATTCTCTCATAGTTGTGAAGGAGGAAAATTCTCCCAGAACATAGGACACCCACCCCAGTGCAGTGCTGTGCAAACCTGAAAAGCCTGGAGTCAGGGTCTAATTCTCCTGGGAGGGTGATCATGGAGTGTTTCAGTGAGCAGGACCAGGTAGGAGGATGCCCAGCTCACAGGGACCTTACCTGCTCCTTGAGCCTGACATGTCTGTTCCCTCCGCACAAGCCCTTTATTTATCACTTTGAAATGATCTGCCCCCTCATATGACAGCCAGATTTCCTTAAATGTGAATGTATTTATTTAGAGCTGAGCAAGGTAGAATATTTTAAAAGAGGTAAAAAGGAAGTAAATTTAAAAAGAAAACAGATTTTGTTTTGGTATATGATAAAAATTCTTAAGTTACCTTTCTGATTTGTTTAGAACATGTAGAACATTTCTGAGACCTCACTTTTTTTTTTTTAATTTGATTTCAAATGGAGTTACATGTGGTAGGTTCATGAATGCTACTTTAGTGGCTGGGGTTGTGGCTTAGTGGAGAGTGCTTGCCTAGCATGTGTGAAGCACTTGGTTTCTCAACACTGCATATAAATAAATAAAAAAAAGGTTCATTGACATCTAAAAAAATAAAAGAATGCTACTTTAGAAAATTAAAAATCCGTGTGTCATTGTTGCTGTAGCAAATGTTTCATTTTCACAAAAGGTGTGGTAGGTAAATTTATACTCTATGGATTCATGAGAATATTAGTTCCCTTGTATAACGAAGAACTTGTCACAATGGATAACTTCTCTTTGCTTCCTGTTACCTGAACTTGGAAGATTACTACTGAATTTCATGGGACAAATATGGCAATTGCCACAAATATCAAAGTATGGTCATTTGTTTATGAATTGATGTAGTGTCATGGAAATTGTTATTAAATGTCATCTCTGTTGGCTGAATAAAACAGGTTTTCGTGAGATTATTATAATTCATGAGCATCTTTCATGATCTTATCTGATTCCAAATGCCCCCTCCTAATGCCACCCAATGGGTGTTCACCTTTCACCTTGTGAATCTTGGGGTTGAAATAGACCTTCAATCTATAATATTACCTGATGGTATTCTCTATAAGGTGTTGGAGACTCCTGGACATTTTGGCTACTCTTAGATATTTGTCTACTATTTCCACTTGTAGAAATAGTTTTCTGAATTTCCTCAACAAAGACATCCTGGTCTTGGATTTCATAGAATTTAAGAAATGAAGCTAGAGAATCAATTGAGCTGCTTCTCCATGATTTAATAAAATTGCATGCAATTCATTTCTCCTTTTTTCATTATTGCTTAGTTATAATTTTGCCAGGGTGCTGAATCCAGCCATCAGTGGTCCACGCAGGTTCCCTGGCTTGGCTGCCAGAAACTGTTAACATTGCAATATGTCATATAGGCTACACCTTGAGGAATGAGTTGGAAGTGTTACCTGCTTCCTCTTAGAGGGGATTAAGGGTAGTTTTCATTGCCTCCTTAGTGTGGTGCAGAATCCACCATGACACTCCTGGGCCATGCCTTTCCTCTGATGACAGTTATTATCACTTCATTAACTTGTTCATGTTGTGTATTTCTCTTTTTGTGTGAGTTATGGTAGATTGTCTTCCTCCTGGACTTGGTCCAGTTCATCTGAATTCTCAAATTGTGTCCGACAGTTATTCATAATATTCCTTTATGGTTCTTTTACTCTCCCTGAATAATGGTGTCTTTCATTTCTACTGAGTAAGTTTTGTTTCTGTTTTCTTAGTTGTGCTATATCTGTTACAAGCATGTACACAAAAAAAACCTGCTTTTTATTTTTTATTTTTTAATAGTTATAGATGGACAGCATGCCTTTATGCATGGGCTCTCTCTCATCTAGTGAGGAGGTCCATGGAATAGGTAGAGGAGAGTGTGGCTGCAGAGTCATGAATCAAGACCTCCAGAGATGTCACAGGAAGCAGGTCTGATTTTATGGTGCAGTTACCATGTATATATACGTGGCCAGTAGTTAAGCAGATTTTAGGCAGCCACCAATACAATTTCTGGCCAACTGTCCTTGTAGCAACCAATTAAGGAGTGGCCTTAGAGCAGCACTGGGACCACAACATGTGACCTCATGCTCAGGGTGCTGTGCCTACGGAGTAAGCAGCCTGCCTCTCAGGCGCCCTTAACATATGCCATATATACAGTACTCCATGCACCTGTTCCCATACCTTTATTTGTTTAGTTTTTTATGCTGTGCTAAGGATTGAACCCAGTGCCTCACACATGCTAGGCAAGTGCTCTGCCTTTGAGCTACAGCCTCAGCCCTGAAGAGCTTGCTTTTGAGTTGATTCTCTATTGATTTCCTATCACAGTTTCATTGATGTCTTTAATTATTCTAGCATCGGATGTAGGTTCTCCTTGCTGTTTGTTCTTTAGTTCCTGAAGTGGAAGGATGAAGGGTTGATTTTTATTCTTTTGTAATGTAAGCCTTCAGCACCTCTAATTGTCCCTAAGCCCTGCCTGTGCTCTGTTCCACAAAGTTTCCTAAGATGCAGTTTCAGTTCTTTTCCTTTGAAATATTCAGACTGATCCTGAGACACCCTTGACCCATGTGTTGTTTAGAACTTTGGGATTTGACCTGCAGATATCTGGAGGTCACCCAGCTGTGTTTCTGTTACTAACGCCATGGTAATTCCAGTGTTCCTGGTGCCATGTTGGGATTTGGTAGCCTTCTGCACTAACGCCTGTCGTGGCTGAAGGTGGCTGGTCGTGGAGACTTCCCTGTGATGTTGAGAAGGATGTGTGCTGGGCTGCTGTTGGCTAAGTGCCCTAGAGGTACCTGTGGTGGGTGTGCTGTTGAGCTAGATACCACGACAGCTCTTCTGTGTGCTCCAGCTGTCACTCACTGTCAGGCGATTGCTGCTGACTCCTTCTATCACTGGATTTCACCGCGTGTCCATGTGAGTCTCTCAGTTGTTCATCAGGTGTTTTGACCTGTTGTAGGTCGTACATCTTAAAAGATTCAGGCAGGTGGATTTAAGTCTTATTACTGAGTCTAGTGTCTATGTTTTCTCAAAAATTAACTCAAGCATTTTTTCCCCATTGGTGAGATGTACTTTGCTCTTTATGTGTATTCCTTATTTTGTTACTTTTGCAAAGTGGGTATTTGAATATTATAATCGTTTCTCCTCTGAAATCAGTTTTTCCCTCTATTCAGAGTTTGCCCTTGTTTGTTGAAGACTGTAGCCATTGTGTGTAGTGACTTTCCAGAGTATTTTTGGAGACAGTAGTTTAGTTGCTCAGTGTACTCAGAGGGTCTCTCTTAGCTTGTGTTGAGCTTGAGTTTTAATGGAGTTCCATGAGGAAATAGCTGGAAAGAAAAGAAGAAACAGCCAGAGCTCAGCTCCTCCAGGGCCTGTGGATAGTGGAGCTGGGGCTGCTGCTTTAACACATGGTCATGCTGTTTAAAACCCCTTCAGCCTCAGTTCTCTGCAGACCTGAGCCTGGAGAGCAGCCTGTGGTCAGCATATGGGTCTTGGTCCTCTCTGAAAGGATTTCTCTTGGCCTGGGTGGCCTTCCACCCTGGTATACCAGGGTGCTGTGAACACTGATTTCTTCTTATTTTTCTGTAGTAGGGATTGAATACAGAGACAATCTACTACTGAGCTACATTCTCCAATCTTTTTCATTTTGAAGCAGGTTCTTGCTATGTTGACCTTCATAGACTGCAACATGTTATCCTCCCACCTCAGCTTCCTAAATCCCTGCGATTTGAGCCACTGTGCCCATCTGAATACTCTAGTTTTTTGTTTTTGTTTTTGGATACCAGGGATTGAACATGGTAGTGCCAAACCACTGAGCAACATCCTCAGCTCTTTTTATTTTTTAGAGACAAGTTCTCGCTAAGTTGCTTAGGACCTAGCCAAGTTCTAAGGCTGGCTTTGACTTGTGATCTTCCTACGTCAGGCTCCTAAATCACTAGGATTTGAGCTGTTCACCACCACACCTTGCCTGAATATTGTAATTTCTGAGAATATATTTTATTGTACCTTTCTCTCTCACACTTCACATTGTGATTTTTT